GTGCCCACGTCCCCCCCGTACTCTAAGAATGTGTTAGTAATGACATTAAATAACAACTAATGATTCTCTTCTAGGGTGCCCACACAAACATGCTTCACAAGATGAAATCCAGAGATTTTGAATAGGAATTCACAGTATTTAAAACCTTCTGACCTGTTGTGGTCTTTCCAAATTTTTTGCAACAGAAGAATTGCTTTATTATTTCAATAAAAAAAATGAGTGGAAATCTAAGAACTGGCATTTTCTGAGAGGTGCCTTGAGACTCATGACTGTGCCTTTAAGTTTAAAAGGCTAATGACCACTGAACTAATAATAATGGATTTTAGGACTGGAAAGTAAGACCCAAACACACTGAAAATAGCAACACCTTAGAAGAATTAAGACCGTACTACAATCTGATTTTTAAAAAACTCCATCTTCAGTGTTTCAGAAAAAAGCAGTTCCACAAAACGTGTATGGAGTGTGTAAGTGGTAACTGTGTCATGGCAAAGGGAGTGGAGTGTTTATTTCTTGCACTGCCATGATTTAGGAATGTTTTTATAGCTACTCTTTCTGGTGTTTAGTACTCATCATGATTCTAATACCTTTCATTTAGGTGATGTTAGGCAGTTACCAAGCATTGATCCAGGTAACGTGCTGGCTGACATGTTTGAGGCTCTGAAGTTAAGAGGTGGGTCAGTGGAACTGAGAACTAATCATAGAGCTGAATCTCAGCTAATTGTGGACAATGCCACAAGGTAGGCTTTTATTTTTGGTGTACATTACTAAAATTTTTATACTAGTTTGGTCCATTAGCTTGCAGGTGACAATGGTGTTGAGGTATAACTAGAGTAAGCGGCTCACTCTTTCTGTTTACAGAATCTTATATTCAAAATACAATTCTTTGATAAAAATCTCAGCCTGAAATTTCACATGAAATTTGCAGTTTAAACAAAAACACTGAGAACAGTTGTTGGAGTACTGTTGAATAATACAGGTTATATGTTAAATAAAACTGTAAACCTGCCAATATCCATCGCTTATATGACCACAAGAAAAAGTTTTGTTTATATTTAAGATTTGGGGCCAGATACTACTGAAAATCTAGGTTCCTATACAATCCATAGGGAGGCTTAGGCAGAGCTGAAGAGCAATTCAGTTTGAATAAGTTTAGGCACCCAGGGTTCTCTGTGGGGAAAGGGAGGCGATTCTGAAAGCGTGACGGTGAGTAGAGGCAGCCATTAGGAAGTGCTGAGCACAGGCCTGCTGCTGAGCCCCTCTAAAGAGCTCAGGCACCTACATCCGACTGCACATTAGGTGCCTCCATTCACTTCATTTCACAAATAAGAATGCTTGTTTATGTCACATTTATTATATAATGTTTAATTTTCGTAACTTCAGTTGTTTCTGGAATACGAATTTAATTTTAAAAGCATGGTTTAATTTATTTATAAGCTTCTGAGGAGAGAGATGTTCTAGTGTAGTAGTTGGATACTTAGCCAGGAGGTGGGAGACGTGTGTCTGAGTCCCTTTCAGGTGAGACAGGTTGAAAACCACATTTACCACTTCCCAACAGAATGCCCTGATCATCAGAAACTCGGCTTTGGGGTGTACTTGCCACCCCTCTTTTGAACCTGCATAGCCAAGAATGTGAAAGTCATGGGGTCAGAAGGAAGCAACAGAAAGCCTGATTCCAGAGGCTGCTGGGCTAGGACTTTTCTTTGGGGTGGGGGTTGACCTGGGTTCTGGTCCCTGATCCAAGGGATATTTCTGTTTAACCAGTGGTAGCCTAATCTAAAATTATGGAGAGAGGGGCTGCTCAGTTTAAGTCTCCCAGTTCTCCCAGGAGAGCGCTGTCATAGCTTGGCTGCAATCAGCTTCCTCCTTCTTGTTCTGCTTGCATTCTTGTCTTCCTGGAGTGCACCTTGAATGGGAGAAATGGAAGTGCTTTACAGTTTCATGGTTAAGGCATTTTCCTGGAACATTCAAGCTCTCCAACTGAAGAGGCCCTAGAATCCAGATGTCCTGCTTTTTGGGTACTGGCCCTAAACTCTAGGCTACAGGGGAAATGTAGCGTTGTTCATTTTGAGCTGAATTCAATGTAGCAGGGTAAAATAAATAAATTACTAGTGCTCATCTGTGGCCTTCACTTGTATATAGCAAGTGTCTTTCAGTTTTACAGAAAATGGGGAGGTACTCAGTTCTTCAAGTCTGGGGTGACTAACTCATGACGCAAGTGAAATGGACAGCTGCTGTATGTGTTGTGAGTCCTGGGTGCTCAGTGAAGGGAAGCACTGGAATGGAAACTGGAGTGGGGCAGGACCCTGCTTTGAGAGGAGAGTCACTGATAAGAGCCAGGTTAACCCTTTCCCGCAGCCACCAAATCCAGGGATTTGCATCCTTGCTCATCATGTACTGTGATGGTTGCAGGGAAGTGTTAACCTGGCTCTTGGTAGTGACCCCCCCCCCACCCCTGCCTCTGCTCTGTTCCCTGCAGCAGCTGGAGGCTTGAGCCCCTCCCCACCACACACACTTGGTGTCCCAGGGCACAAACTCTATCAGATGTGCCTCTGGGGGATGGGGTTCAGAGAGGCACTTGGGAAGGGGGCAGCATTTAACTTGTGGCACACCTGCCGGAAAGGCTGGCCGCCACTGGTTTAATAAACTTAAATGTGGTCTTGTTGGTACTATAGAACTTCTGCTGCTTATGGCTGTGGTGGTACAGCCATGTTGAGAGAGCCCTCTAGTGTAGACTCATTGTAGGCTGACACTTTTTTTTTGCAATATGACTATATACCACCTTCCTTAAAGGCATGCATTACCTGAATGAAAGCCCGCACTTGCAAGCAATGCATTGGCTAGTAGGAGTGGTCCCATATCTCTGGTCAGCATAGCTCTCCTGGTACAACTTTGTAGTGCAGACCTGGCCTATGAATCAAAAGGTGCAGGTGCACAGCTGGAGTGTTTTAATAGGAAACTGTTTTTTCTTTTTGTGGTTTAGAATCTCACAGCGGAAATTCCCAGTATTTGATGCAAGAATCACAATCACTGGTTGGAATGAGAATGTGACGATGCCAAGCCCTGAGAAGAAATTTATTTTTGTTGTTTTGCCTTCCGAAGGAGATTCTGATTGTATGTTTGTATACCGAGTTTATGATCCGTCTTGTAATACTGCAAGAATTCTCCTCTTCCAGTTTTGCTAAAAGTAACAATTTGAAGATGAAACCAGTTTAATATACCGTAGAGCAGAAACAATTTCAGTACATTTGAATTGTTCCATTTAAAAAAATACAAAAATTTAATTAAATTATTAGCTCTTTTTGCATAAAATGAATTTACCCGATAAGAGTGAATTGTTTGCAGTAATTAACAAAACAAAACAAAACCTGTTAATATTATCAACTTACTCTGAAAAGTAGCATGGCATCAGATACTTGAGTCATGAGAATGATACAAGAGCACAAGCACTTGAGTTGCAAGTAGTCCTAAAACAGCTTTCTTGGACTGTGGGCAGGGTCCTCCGCATTAGAATTGGCTTTCTTTCTGTTGGTTAGATCAGGGGTTTCAAAGAAATGGCCTATGGGATGGATCTGACTCATGGAAGTGGGTCATTCAGCCTGAAAGACTTTTCATGAGCCAGACAACCCACCCCCAGATCCAGCCTGCAGCTTCTAGCCATGGCTGCCAGAGCTGCTGAGTTGATGCAGCCAGCCAGGTGTTAACCCTTGTGTGTTGACCACGCTGTGGCAGCTGCAGCAAGAAGCCCTCTGGACCAGATTTGACCTGCCAACTCCTTTGGCACTCCCAGGTTAGATACAGGACACTAATAAAGGGAATATTTATAAGATAATGGGCATTTATTTATTCATCTATTTATTGAAAGAGAGTCCATTGTCTTGTTTGGCATTAAAATGTTGATTAGGTAGGAAATAGAAGGCTACTAGGCATATTTTCTATTTTAGATACCACAAAAAACAAAATATGGGGAAGTGATCCTTGTAGTAGTTGTATACTTCTCATCAAGTAATTTATTCAGCAGTCAGTGTTTAACTTTTATATACCGTGTTTACTTAATTCTGAGATGAGGTTTTTTTCTCTGTGTAATGTGAGGGGGGAGGGGGGAATCCCTTGTCTTAAAATTGAGTATAAAGGTGGTGTGGGGGCAGGTGGCTGCTGTGGCTTGGACATCAGCTCCCACCTAGGGTCAGGGCTGTAGCCGCAGCTGCTGCCTGCCCCCAGCACCCTGCCATCTTCCCCACCCCCATCCTGAATGCAGCCTCTGGTTCCCCCTTACCCTTTCTCTGTGCTGGTAGGCCCCATCCATGCTGTAGTCTGGGGCACTGGGCATGGCCCCAGCCCAACTTCATAGCAGTGGTGCAACTTTCACAGCTGCTGTAGGGGGCTGGGCTTGGGCTGTGTTTCATGCTAGAACAGGGATGGAGCCTCCAGCATGGAGCAAGAGTAAGCAGGGTAAAGGAAGGAAGCAAGGAGCAGAGGCATGAGAAGAGGGCATGAGGGGGAGCAGAAGTGGAGAGAGAAGTGGGAGCGGACTGGTGGCAGGGAGAAGGCACAAGCAGAGGTCTAGCTGTTTGACCTCTCCACACCACCTTCTCTCACACTGCCTGCCTGCCCCACCCCCAGCATTGGGAGGAGGGATGACTAAAAGATGACCCTCCAATAATTAGATTCTATACATGGAGAATTATAACAAATATATACATTTTCCATGTATAAAACCTAATTATTGTGGTGTTCGTCTTAAATTCAGTGTTTTCTTAGATTCCAGTCAATGTGGTAGATTCTGATACAAAGTTTTAATTTCCTAGTTCTAGAGCTTTCCTTAGAAAAAAACCCCAACAAATCAGTATTTCTACAAACTGTCCTGTCAAAGAATATCTTCAAAGCATGTTTTTTTAATTGTGTGAAACATACTGAATTATAGCTGTTTATCAGATACGAGTATGAGTTTCTTCTCTGTTTCTCAATACCCCATTTCCCCAGAGTTGAGCTATTAGAAAGCTGCACAGTGCTCATAACTTTTTTCTGGTAACCAAGAGTTGGCACTCTTGGGCTTATTAAAGCAAATAATAAGCAAATACTGGTTTCATACTGAATTGTAATTTCTACCTCTCAGATTTCAGTCTGCATTTTTATACTTTATCTTCTCTTTCTTATAATCAGGCTTGCAATATGCCATAAAGACTTTACTTGAAAAAGGACCAGGATTGCAAGATCCCAAACAATCACAGTTCATTGCTTTCAGAAGGTAAAAGAGCATGTATACAGATACTGAAAAACTCCTGCTTGTGAGCATGTTCTAAAAATGTCTAAATACAGCAAGTTAGAGATGGGTGTTATAGGCAAAAGCACTAGGGAAATATAGGCCACTTGTCTTTTATTTCCCTCTACCTTGTCTTCTGGCATTGAATGATTCTTTTATGTAGACTTCCAATAACTTGGGTTTTCCATAAGCTTAATGTTACCTCTCATCTGTGGAGCACCTTTGCACAGTACATTCTTGCCTGAAGCCGTCTACATAGCTGATGGATATACTGTTCACACTTGTACTGGGGACCAGTATCTTTCCTGTCCATGGTGGTTCAGTATAAAAAAATTTCACATGCCAGTGATGGTCCCCTAGCGAAGTCAAGCAGATGGTCTTTCCTGAATATTCCTCAGACTGGGGTCACCCAGTTTGGGGAAGACATGGGGTGAAGAGGAGGAGACGAGGTGGTTACAGAATGGAATACCTGCATGCTCCCTCTCTTAAAGATTTGTAGTGTTGCAGATTTCCCAGAAATTCTGAGCAGTTTGCAGTGCTAGAATTGAATGCCTGTCCACACCCAAGTACTAATGTATGAGCAATAGTGGGAGGTGGGGGGGCCACTCAGTACATGGACTTAGTACATGGTGCACTCAGGCCAGGCCAGGTCGGGCAGTTGGAGCCTGGCAGCTTCTCCAGGGGCGTGGGTGGGGAGCTCCTGCTGCTGCGTGCACCATGGGAGAACTGAGGGAGGGGGAGCACATTTCTTCCCCTCCCCCCCGGCTTCCCCGCACCATGCCTCTGGATGAGCTGCTGTGCTCTGATTGCCCCATGACCTGTCCCAGGCAGGGCCCCATTCACCGTGAATGGGGCCCGGTCAGGCTGGGTTGTGGGACAGTTCCCACAATGCAATAGGGAGCAGGCAGGGCAGGGGCAGGAATGAATGATTTGCCCCTGCCCCTACCGCACTGTCTCCTGTACTGTGGAGGTGTCTACCCCCTGCCCCCTCCCAGCTTAGCTGCCTGCTGAGCCAGCTGTGATCCTGGCTGTGCAGGGTATCTGAGTGCGTGCCCCTCCCCCCTGCTGAAGCAGCCTGTGGCTGGGCTGCCCTCCAGCCATACCTGCTGGCCCCCTGCATTTGCATTTGGGGGGGCTGAGCCTGGTTAGCACCCCCCCCTTCTGCCACCTATGTGTATGATTATAATTTTTCTTCGGTTCCTCTTCCTTCTTGGAAGCAAACCCAGATAACCTATATAAATTCTGCAGACTTGTTTTTGCCTTGTAGTTTTATTTTTGGAATTAAATATATTTTTTTGCACCAACATCTTCTAAATTGGCTTGTAATTAATGAACTTTTCTTTAGCTATCAGTTACAAGATTAGCATTGTTAATACTAAAGTGGGCATTGGACCACTGTCTGTCCTGTCGTGCTTAGAGAAGTCAACAACTCTGCCTTAATGTTGATGTATTTTTCTAGCATTTTGAAAAGACTTTATATGTAACTGCCTGCAATTTTTCTTACACCCTCCATCTATTGTTGTGTAAGGAAATAAGGCTCTACTTCTTGTTTTATATGTTTAGGCGAGATTGTGATCTAATAAATGAACTCTGTTGTCGACATTATTCAGATCATGTAACCAGGTAAGACAGAGTTTTGAGAATCAAGGCATGTTGTGTGAGTACATTTCTTTTTCTTCTCTTTTATCCACCTCAGTTTCTCTCTCAAAACTGTTCGAGAGGACAAAATTGTAAATTCGCTAAAAATAAAAAATCTGCTTTAGATGTATTACCTTGTTTGTTTGATGCTAGAGTGCAAATAAGTTACAAACTAAACCAACTTACTTGTGATTCTTTTTACAGATTTTTAAACATACAAAATAGGGCACATGCTATTCGTTTTTTCTTACTGTACTGGAATTTAGTTTTTAGTGACTGTCACACTTAGTCATAGCATGTTTTGTAAAAGCCCTTTAAGGGTACCTAGGTACCTTTTAGAAATAAAGATTTCCCTTTGCTGTTTCCTAATTTAAAATATACAAATGGCTTTAGCTTTTATAAACATTTTATATGGTATGGGGTGCCAGCCTCATTCTGTACTGATGGCTTAGTACTTTATGCTGTTACTCTTTAATTTCAATTTCTATTTCTGATACAGAAACCATAAAAAGAAACTGGTTTTTCAATGTAATGACAAAATTTGTTGCACAAGGAATACCTATCTTACAAACCTTCATCCAAGAAATACCAAAACCTGCACAAGAAATAGTGATTCGGAGAATCCTAAGCAATGTGACTGCATGGCATGCTCAATAACGAAAGTCTCTCGCAATGAGCAAAGACCACGTTTTAATCTCGGAGATGGTGATAAGGATGGCAAACGACTATGCAATGGAGATGTTTTTTTCATAACAGATGTATGTATGCTTTTACCACAAGAAGCTGGATGGAGTTCTCGCTAACAGTGCAGACAGAAGTGACAATTTATGCCTGATCTGGCCACAAAAAGCAGTTTTATAGCTGTGACCAAATACAAGCGCGTGGCAGCAAATGGTTTAAAAAATCGCCAGTGAGATGGCCAGTGAAAATCTGACCCCTCATTGCATGAGATATCAGATAAAGATGTTACAAAATGTTTTGTCTTTGTAACGTGTTTGTGGAGCTCCCAGCCTGTCACTGTTTTCAGAATGGAAGGGGGGAAAAGAGAGCAGAGGGAGTTCAGTCTGGGGACTTTTTACCCCCAGAGGGTGCAGTGGTTGTATTACAGCCCCCCTGAGGTGGGGGGGGGCTCTAATTCAACCACACCACCCTTCTGCACCAGCTGGGGAGCCCCAAGAATGAGCTCCTTCTGCTGCCTTCCCCCCACTCCCATTCTGAAAACAGTGCTTGACAGAGCGCCCTGGCCATGGGAACCTGGCTGCAGGCTCCCAGCCCCAGCTAGATTCCCCTGTCCCCTGCAAATCAGTGAACTTCTGTTTGAACTGAGTAATGTTGTAACTCAAGCTTTGCAAAAATCATTCTGAGTTGCAGCTTGGACCTGCACTACTGTTTGCACCCTAAATCACGAACAAAAATTAAAATGTAGTTTTCTCTCATATTAAATATTTGACCTCACCAAACTCAGGTGATGGGTAACCCTTTTGCCTCTCAAGAGAGACCTAGAATTGCAGTGGCAGGGTTTTTTGGCAAAATTTAAAGGGCAGCTTTGATAATACCTGCTTGTTGTTTTGTTTAGTGCTGCATATTCCTTTGTCTTGAACCTCAGACATTCACAGTAAAAAAAATTTAATTTCAAGAAATATGGTATTTATTTCTAGGACATAAACATTTGAAGGTTACATACCTGAGGGACAAGACAGTTTTCTAAAGATTGATGGAAGTGTTGAGAGAGGAGTTTTTAATGGGCAGTGGGACTTACTAAATTTAAGTAGTATGAAGCTGGCTTGTCTGGGAATCAAGTAGTTAAAAGGATCCTATCTTTTAGAACTGGGAACATCAGAGGGTATAACTTTCCACTGTTCAGATTTTTCTGCTTGACATAAAAAATATATTGGTATATCTCAGTTAAGTCCTACCCCCAAAAATGTTTTCTTGGTTCTATTATATTCTCTTATTCTTGACTAAATTGGATTGGTCAGCATGATGATATAGCTCTAAACATAAATATTAATCATTGTTCTAGTTGTGTTTGTGGGTGTATGGGTGTGGTGTGAGCATGCACATTGGATTCCTGGTTGTTAAGTCTCTTCACATGATGTTTCTGTAGGATGTGGAAATTAATGGATGCCGTCTGTTGACTATCAGCAGCACATATGGCTCTGAATTTACTTTATTGTATAAAGCACTGAGAAGAGCATGTCATATAAAACATGCATGGGCCAGAACTATTCACACATTTCAGGTAATAACAGTTACTACTTTTAGCAGAGTTCTGTCAACCAGTAAAATGATTGATCTTTGCATTGCTCTATAACTTAATGGGAAGGCTCAGAGTTTGGGAGCGCCATTCAAGCAAAAGACTCCTTGAAGATAAAATCAGGAACAGATTTGGGGGTTAGGGAAAAGCAGTGGCTTCCCTACAGCCCAATGTGGGGATTGTGAAGGAGATGTGTTCTTTTCTATGCTTGACTGGAATTGTAGAATAGTGACACATTGTTGGTAGGAGGGAAGAAGGCCGGAGCAAAGCACCCTGGGATGGTGGAGGACTATGCTGTGGCTTCTGTCAGAAGGGTAGTTGTACAGCTATTTTTTCTTCCAGGAGAAACTGTCCTGGGAGTGATTTAACCCTATTTGTACCCACATTTATTTTTCTCCTTGAGCAGCCATTTTTGCTCTGGGAGAAGAATCCTTAACATGCATACACTTGTGGTTTCTCCAGAGAGAGCAGAGGCTCTCCCAGGAGAAACCGAATGTCTTTATGTAGCCTATGTTGAAGCACTGGTGTAGTTTGTTTCTATAGCCTGGGCTTGTGATTGTTGCCTACAGGCTGCTGTTTGGAACACCAAAAACAAATCAAAGGGGTTACTCTTACTGTAGTCAATTTTAGCATCTTATTTAGGCAAAAACCACTCTTCATAGAATCTTGCCACTTTTGTTCATATTGGTATATGGCTCTGTAAGTAGCGCTTAAACCTGACACAGTAATCACACCCACATATGAAGATAATTTTATCACATATTTTTGAAGTTGAGACTTATGTGCTGCACTGTTACCTTTTTTTGCAAACTCTTTTCATTAACACCTTGAAATTCTCTTAACTTGTTAAAGAGCTCTTAAAATTATGTGCGTTGCAGGGTTCTGAGGAGAAAACAATTGTCTACGTAGTTGGGAATGCAGGCCGACAGCACTGGCAGCACGTATACACCGCTGTAACTCGAGGACGCTGCCGCGTCTATATTGTAGCTAAAGAGACTCAACTTAGGAAAGCAGTTACTAACAGGAATTTCCCCAGAAAAACTCGCTTAAAACAGCGTTTAAAAGAGGCATTTGCAGAAGCGAGCAGCTGTCCAGAGCAAACAGACTTTCTTCTACAGAGTCAATGTCGGAGTCAAGAATATGACACCCTACCTGGTGTGGTGTCAGTAACTCAGGATGTTCTTGGCATTTCTGTACCAGCTGAAGTTGACGTCACCAAACAGGAGAAGTGTACAGTTCTTGATGAAATGGAGACTAGTAATGGACAGAGGATATCTGCTGCACTGGGCAGCATAGGAAGAGAGACTGAGACACCTGTGAAATTAAACGGATATAAAAGGGAAAGGAGTTCTACATGGAATTCTGAGAGCCCTTTGAAAATGACTTTGGTAAGAAACTTTTGGAGGGAGGGCAGGATTTTTTTAATTACTCTGTTACAGCAGTGCAAATATTACTGATACCCATTACCTAATTTGTTAGCTTTTCTAATAATAGTCTGCTAAAATATTTCACTACTTCGAAAAGTGTTGAGGGATGATGCTTATAATTTAGGGGTACTGGAGGGGAAAAAAAAACCTGGTAATTGTTGTAATAGTAATTTATAAATGCTACGTAGAAGTTTTTTTGGCTTGCTTAAACTGAATTACCTGATGAGATTAATTTTTTCATAAAAGGTCAATTGTAATTATTTATTATCAAGATGTATAACAATTCTCACAGTTTTAATGAGCTGCTTTAATCTGTAGTTTGTACTTTAAATATTTTTTTTGTTTCAAGTCAGTTCAGAACAATAAATTCTTGGACAGTGGTCCCTTCTCTTGTACACATGTTTTATTACAGTTTAATCATAACTGTTCTTGTTTTTGTTTGTCAGATGACTACTGAAGACTCTCCACTTGGGACTGCCAAACTGAAGAATCTGAATTTGGGAAACTTCACTCCAAAAGCACTTTTTAAAAATTAACAAGCAAAGATATTCATTACTGTGCTACTTAACTATTTTGTACAATGAAAAATATGGTTTTGGAACAGAAACATTTTAAGTATTCATCTCAAAGCTTTTTAAATATTTTTCCAAGTTGTTGAAACACAGTTTATTTTAAAATTGACATTTTTTGGTCAACTCTATTTTAGCAGAAGTTAGAGAGAGATGTTAGTTTTCAAGAAAATGTTGATTATGTTGCCTTTTTATTTGGGAAGAACAGATAAGTTGCATGGACATCTTCAGATACAAAAGTTCCCTTCTTTACAAAATGGTACATTGTTGGTCCAGCCAGAACCTTAAATGTTACATAAAATATTGGTGCAACCCAGAGGTATCTTCTAGTTTATCTCTCGTAGTATTAGGGCTTGAGTAGAGGCGTCATTGCACATTCATACTGGCATCCTGCCCTTTTAAAAACCAAAGATTTATACACCATGTGGATTTTAATTTTCTATGTAAATTGATGGAAGTTTCAGTATGATAGTAATTAAGATGCTACCACCATACATAAAATATTCTGCTGGAACATGAATTTGAATCAAACCGTAATAGACTGTACTGTGAATTAGACTATAACCAAGTTGCAATGAGTGATTTTCAGGGGCTTTCTCTTTGCACTGCATAGGGCCCAGAAAGTAATATGTTAGATTCCAGTTTTCTGCTCCTTATGTAAGTAGTAATGCGCTTCACATGACTTTGTTTAGTTTTGGTAATGCACAGTAGGGCCAAATCCTGTAAGATACTGTGCACACAACACTCATTAGCAGTGTTGTATGTTAAGTCTTTGAAAAACAGTGAGGCTGGCAGTGATTTTCTTTCTTATACAGTTTGCATAATTATGTGGCTTACTGCACTGGAATTTACAGGATTGGGTAAATGTTCCAACCTGTCAACTGATATGTACTTAAACTGACATGACTTTCATTTGCATATTCCATAGATTATAAGAAATGTCAGTGCTTCTCTAAAAAGTTGATTTGTATCTTTCTTGTAAATGCACATTTGTGGTAAAAGATTTACAAAAGAAAAATCCTACTTAAAAATAACCGAAAAATGAGGATAGTGAAGTGTAGCATATCTGTAATGGTTTGCTAAGCCTACCTTTTTATCTGCTTTATAGTGCATAAGTTTTGTACATGTGAATACCATCTCAGTGTTAATAACATTGTCTTTAAATCACTGTTTATTCCATTTTATACAGCCTTTCCATACAAATATTTGCAACAGTTTGAGTTTCCAAAAACATACATAGACGATAAATATCATGCTATTAAAGTATTAAATTTGTACAAAAATACTTTACAGTTTAATACTCATTACAAATAAAAATACATATTTAAGTGATTCATGATCCTGTTTTTACATGATTTCAGTTTAAACTTTTTTAGTGACTGATATTTTTCTGGCAGTGCTGATATATAAATTGGACATGACGCTTGTGTATAGGGCAGGTGAGCTTGATCATTTTACTGATTAAGGAAAACAGCAGTAGGGATACTCTTCCTAAACAATTTAAATTGACCAGAACGAATCTTGTTGTGAGATGATTGCTTAGATATGAAGACTCTACAGTTAGTTAATGTACAAATCTGATATATTTTATATTCACTAAACAATAATTACCATAACAACTGGAATACTGGAACAAATCAAAACAGTTGCTGGTGAGCATAAAAAGCAACTGGCAGTATTTTATTGCTCTGAGGGGATGGGACAGGATTTATGATAAATTTGTAAAATGTATTTACAATTTAAATTTTCTAAAAACTTTAAGGATAATTACAAGAAGGCTGAAAACAGGGCCTATTTAAGTGAATTTAAACTAATGAGTACCCCTCAAGAAATTCTTATTGGTAAGAAAAAGTTCATATGCAACAATACAAGATAGATTTGTAATGATCATTCTCATTGATACAATTAATTGATATAGTAAAAAAACTTTTTTTTTCTTTTTGTTCCGTGATTAAATAATGCATTTAAGGTTTAGGTTTTTTTATTCAATAATCCTTCTGAATTTTTGACTACCTAAAAATCTCTCTTTTGAAAAGAATCATACAGGTTGCAAGACGTATCCTGTTTAGTACTTCATTGCATAGGAAATAACATATAACGCCTAATAAAGTTTTACCACAGTTTTTGGCAGGAAACTTCACCACCACATGCTGCAGCTTCTTCCGTGCATTTTCTAAAACCATTTGAATAGTGCTTACTCTGAAGACTGCACCTCTTCAGCAGAACACTATTCACAAACACTACATTCCTAGCCATTTAACAAGTGACCTTCTTGGTGCAGCATACCACCATCTTGTAAATCCCTCATCCAGAAACCAGCTGGTTTACAAATTAGTAGATTTGTATTTAAAAACAAAATCTGGACATCAAGGTAAAAAGAGATTTATCCAATCTTTTTCTTTCAAAAATGATGATGCTGTAAAGAAGGCAAAGAGCAAAAATAGTGTCTTTAAACACCTCCCAAATTTCTTAGTCAGGGAAAAATTAAGGCCATTAGCCATTTCTTTACTCAACATTGCCATGACTTATGGTAGTAGGCTTAGGTTGCAATGGCACTTCTCAGTAGTCATACCATCTGAAATAAAACTGCAACTCCATTGCTGAAGTAATATAGGCCTTGAAACAGATAGTTGGACCCCTTGCTCTTTTTAATGCCACATGGTATCTGTGCCTCAGTTATCACAGTAATCTTAAAAGGGAGTTAGCACCATATATGGTCTTTCATTACCAAGTGTCTGATTAAAATAACTTCTTGCTATAATGTGTTTGTAGGTTCTCGTGTCTCCACACTAGTGATATGTCCAGTTTGTTGAAGGAAGGCATTATTTTGGTCACTCCATTCAGCACCTGCTAAAGTCTGTTGGTCTGAAGTTCCCTTCTGAGCAGCCAGTGGGTTTCTACTAATAACCAGTTCCAGTTTATTGCCAGATTCTGCTATAAGGGGCACAACGAGACAGCAGTCAAAGTCTCTGGTACGAACATGATTTACCTGAAAGGTTAAAGTTTGAATTTTAGTCAAACTAAAGGTGGGAAACAAGGTCATTCCAAATACGTGACAATAAAATCTGCCAATATACTTTCATATATACATTTATGTATGTATACCCCCCATATAATATTATATACATTTAAAGTAATTAATAACTAAAATGTAAGATGCCAATAGTTTTACCTGCAAAAGTCTATCATATGGTTTCAAACCACCCAGATCCCCAGGACCAGCTGGCCGAATATTTTTAACATATACACCTTTCTCCAGTAAACCATCTGAGACACTGAATCCAAAGTCCTCTGCATCAGAGTCCTTAAACAAAGTTACCTGTAGAAATAGTTTAGAAAAATAAGAAAGCAAATGTTTTTCCACATTTGTGCACTGCTGCAAACAAAATGAGATTTTTGTTAATTCCAAATGAGTAATCATTTGCCTTTTACTTTATATTGCTAATTTCGTCCATAGCCTTTTCTTCAGTGTTTTTCAGTAATGGAATGTCCAGTTTACTTTACTAATCATTATGTTTTATCCCCGTCTTCTCGGTGTTTCTGAGACTTTTTTTCCCTGTAAGTCCCTTTATTGTCTTGTTTTCCAGCTGTTTTATTTCCATAGATTAGCTCTACCGGGCAGGTAGAAGCTGTTAGATTCCCAGATCCTTTAAGATGTGGTACTTGGACTTAGGCTAAATAAATGCATATTTTGACTTGTTTTGATAGTTTTAGGCTGTATCAGCATAATTAGCTTTGAGAAATCCAGTGGGACTAAATAATGTAACAGGCTACAGTATCACCTGAGCTTACATTTTCAAGCTTCAGGATTCCAAATAGGAAAATCCTGTGCTGCAGAGCTCAAAACTGTCCAAAGCTGACCTGTATAACCGTCCTGTGGGGAGCAGATTCATGACATTTATAGTTTGCAGGCCTTTTTTCAGTTCCAAAGTTGAGTCTGAGCACTATTATCAAGATTTGGGTTTTTAGGAATCCCCAGAGGAAAGCTGGATGTGAGGTAACACAAAATGAACTAACCTTTTAAACAAAATTGCATTAGGCTTTAATGCTTTATTGATTCTTCTGTAACTTTCACAGCAGTAACTACCACTGACCAAACTAGTAATAGCACTGGCAAGCTCCATCCACCCAGTGTCTTAGTTACATAAGGTCTAATGTCAGGAGAGTTAAAGGAGTATGTATCTACAGGAAAATACAACTGTGAGATTGCTTCAGAAAAATAATTATAGAAAAGCCTATGTTGCCCTTGAAATGGGGGATGAAGAAATACTGTCCAAAAGGAGAAAATAAAAGCTGGTACAATTAAATATTTTAGGGAGAAGGACATTCCCTGAGGAAACATCAGGGGTATTCTGAGGATGATCCTTTTTATCTTGCATTGTGTTTCTGATTGTTCTGGTCAAAAAGGATTCCAGAAGACTTTGAAAGGTTTTTCTTGTACAGGCAGGGTGTCATCTTTTCAAGCCATGTCCACCCTACAGATGCCTGGCAAAGAGACGTAGGTTAGAGGTGTGAAGAGACATGATCTCTCAATGACACAGTTGTGCCCAGACAGTATTTCAATCAAAACTGCACTTTCCCTGGTATATGATGTTTAATGCTGCTACAGGGCAGGCAAGGCTCAGGGAGACCTTTGATGATAACCCTATTTATGTATTGCTCCTGGTCCAGGTGTGGCTGCAGGCTAATCTAGTTGAAGCCGTGACACTTGGTCATATAAGCCAAGTTCCTGTGTAGCTACAAGTCAGCTGGCTTTGACCTAGCTGGCTAGCCTAGGTTCAAATGCATTAGCTTGCATCTTAGTGGGGTGTATTAACCTAAACCAGCCCAACTGAAATTTCATGATTGAAACACATCCTTATTTACCCATGAAGACAGAGACTTGAAGACAATCAATACTGTCCCTTACTGTACCGCAACCCCTCCTTTCTTTTCCTCCCTGTTCCCCTCCGTGGTGTTGCAGTGCAGTACACTATTAAAAGGCCAGTCCAAAATCCTATCAACATTTAAGATTAAAGTATTTCTCTTGTGCAGGGAAGCATACTCTTCTGTCCTTCATTCTTTGTAAGACCTCTGATGTTAAACTTTCTGGGAAATAGTATATTAGAAAACCCACAAATTATTTCTACCGTTGCTTACCACACCTCAAATTTAATGGATTTCAGGAGTTGGAAGAGCATTTCAGCTACTGTACACTTACCATGTGATTAAGAATAATGAACCTTAGAAAGATTGTTAGGTTATACTGACAGTTGATAGATGAGCAGGAGTCCAAGAAAACTCCAGAAATCTGTTATTGATGGAGACTTTAGTCTGTGATATGGCAGCATGTCTAAGATTGTTTTGATCTCAAGTATATTTTCAAGCTGCTAGGAGACAGCCATAAGGCTAACATTTTAACAAGGCTAGAAAATAAAAGGAGAAAATACATTTTGCTGACAGATTTGTGTGTACGGTTTCTGACAAAAAGAAAATAATTAGCAGTGGGCCACGGCACAGGTTCTCCTTAGTTGAGATCACTGTTTTCCATGCCAGTACAAAGGGGTTTCATGTGAACCGCCTGTTTTAAGAAGACTGGACACAAATGCAAGGTAAAAAAAAAAATATGCAGGGTCATAGAGCAGATGAGAATCAAAATGCCCTTTGATGTTTGTGAGCAGATGGCAAAGTATTTAAAAGAAGGTTTTCTCTCTCCTTCACCCACTATAGTGAAGTGGAACTAGATTCAATCTTAGAGGAACCGGGAGTGGTAACTTACTTCATTGCATGACAAGGTGGGAATTAGCAAAGATGATGCATACAATTCTACTCTATAGACCTGTGAGACTTGCACACTAGCAAAAACCAAAAGTCCAGTTGGTCTAATACCTTGTCTCTGACCAGCACCCGCTAGTTCAGGAGAAAGTGACAATTTTTGACACTTACGGGGAAAAAACTTGCCTAAAGGACAAGCTTTCTCCAAACTTCGCATGAAGGCTTCTGTTGCTTATATAATGCTTTAACTAGTATGACTGTAATTGTGACTGCTGACAATAGCCCAGTTTTTGGTTGTAGCTGTGTTGGTCTAAGGACATAGGCCAGCAAGGTTCTTTGGTTAGATGTGATATCTTTTATTAGACCAACTGAGTAGCTGGAAAAAAGTTCTCAGCAAACTTTCAGACCAGCAGAGACTCCCAATGCTTGACAAAGGGTGACTGCACCCGAAAGCCTGGTAAGAACTTTTTCCCAACTACTCAGTTGGTCTAATAAAAGATATCACATCTAACAAAAGAACCTTGCCTGAAAATAACCCATGATTTCCATTGCACTAATAGGACACGGTCTCTGTAAAGATGTGTATAGCCAAGGAACAGGAAGCCTTATCCTTCCCTGTAATAGAAAATGACTTGTTTTTTTGGTAAGTTTTGATCCAGGAGACCATTTTAAGGGCTGATTGATTGCTTGTGTCTAAATGTCAAGCAACAAAATAAGGTGCTTAAGACAAAGACGCCAGATAGGACAACTGAACCTAGGAGTGCCAGCAGAATCATACTGTAGGATAGTGGGAGGACCAGTTGAACTGGGGTTGAATACAGACCTGGCTTTTCCATGAGTTATTGTTTCAGTTGGTGTAGTTATAGGTTCCTCTTTCCCAGCTCAGCAGAACATTTCAAGCACATTTGTTAAACTCGGTAAAGGCAATGGGATTTCAGAATGCATTTTTTGCTACTCAGGGACTTAGGTTATAATTTTGAATTTTATAAATTCTTACCAAAAGGGATCATTAGATCATCATTAATCTGACCTGTACAACTCAGGCCAGAGGATTTTACCCAATTACACCTGTATTGAACCCAAAATAACTTGGCTAAATAAGTTTGGCTAAAGTATATTTCCAGGCTTCATCTGAAGACATAAAGAGATGGAGAATCCAGCAATTCCCTGGTGGTTTGTTTTAATGGCTATCACATTTAGCATTAAATGAGTATATCGTATTTCTGTCCTGAATATGTCTTAAATTTCCAGCCACTGATTCCTGATGCACAATTCTGTGCCCAGCATCTCCTACAAAGCAGATGCATGGGCAGTTCTAGAGACAGTTCAAGTCCACAGCATCACCTATGCCAGCCGTGCCCCTTTGCCAACTTTCCACCAGAAGTTCTACTCCTGTGGCAGTCATCAGTAGCAGTTGCTTTACTCCCAACCCTCTTCTTTTCCAGCTTTCCTTTTAGTTTGCTTTTTAGACAGCAGCAATTACATACTACTCTTTCTTCTTGCCTCTGCTCCCCTGGATCAAGTATTTGGCAGCATGATGGTTTCACCCAGTCAAATCTGTTGCAGCAGTACCTTCCCAGCCTTGTCTTCTGAACCCCACAGGCAGTGTGAGCGCAGCCTTTACAGGACCTTCAGGGGGTGAATTATGCTTACAGTCAGTCACAGTTACCCCATACTCCATGGGCTGAGATTTACAGCTGGACACTGAGAAGCTGCAATTCCAGCTCAGAAAAATCCAACCAGGAGCCTCTGAGTATTTTGAAGAGAATTGAAATGTTCACCATCTGGCCAGTTTCAGGTATGAGACCTGGCAACCAGAGGAAAAAAATAATGAAGAGGTCCCAAAGCAACAGCTTTCCTCACCACTGACATCTTAACTGATGTTAAGATATTCTCAGCCAAGGCATCCAGTTTAGCAGACATATGCGACATCTGGCTACACTTCTGGACTGCAGATACTGCTTCAAGTAAATCCACTGCTCATTGAAATTCCCTACTTCAACAAATATTGGGCAAGACAGTACTATACAGTGCATGCAGATGGCAGCAGTCTCTCTTTTCTCTACTCTCTGCCCAGAAAAGGTACCAGAAAAGTGTGCAAACCAGCAGAATAATACCGTCTGTCTGTCCTCACCATAGGAATGATATGGGCAACATGGCAGTGGTACATCATGGGAAAATTTACGGAACTGTGGATCGAGCAGCAAAACTTGGGGTAAAAATGTCTCCAGGAGATCACGGGGATAACAAAGCCTGTGCCTCTACCCTGATTGGAATCTAAGAAGAAAAATGTCCAACTTCCCAGAAAAAGAGTTTCTGTCAGCCACAGATAATCAGGTGAAAGTAGTAGGGAGTCTTTGGTTAAGGAGGTTTAACGCTCCCACCCCATCTCTTCTTCAAATCACCCATCTAGCACAATCCTTTGACACATGAGCTGGTGCTGAACAAGATTTTGCACCATCTAGCTAGTTCCCTCAGAAGGCTCCTAGGGACGATATTCCATGTTCTTTATTGTCTTGGTATATGCAGGGGTATACGGATCAGAGCTACCTTGGACCTCAGATG